CTATCATTAGCCCTTTATTTGACTTCAGGCTTCACAGAGAAGGAGGTACTTCAAATTGAAAAAAAAGTCGAGAGGGGGGAACAGAAGAGTGTTTCAAAGATGTAAAAGAGACAGACACAAAGGTAGAAAAAAGGTGAGGTGAGTACATGGAAGTAGTCGAATAGGACATACAGTGAGGTGATGGTAGTTTGAAGTGAGAAATCAACTGCCAGTTAATAGACATTTTTGCCATATGAGTATACGTTGCCCAGGGTGCACCACATGGAGGTAAATCTAACACACACCCCGTCTCACAGATATTGACTGGAAAGAAGCATTTCAGAATGGAGTGAGCATAAAAATATCTGAATTCCATGGCAAGTGGTTTTCATCTGCAGCTTATTTTCTTTAAACCTTGAATATTTTAATTAAAAGCGATTAAATTTTCTAATGAAATTCGTTATTGGTTAATTGAAAAGCTTTGTTTGGGACCGTTGATTTACCATAAAATTAAAATGCTATTTCCGTTGACCAAGAAAGTAGCCTGCAAATACCAAACCTTAGATGTCTTTAAATGCCCTTGGTAAATTTAAATTTAGATCTTAACCTAAAAGCTGTATTTCAGGTAAAAATCCTAATTTTGTAATAGTAAATGAAGGCTAAATATTTATAAATCGAGGTCTATTCCGAGTAAAATATCTTAAGATGAATGAGATTGAATTAAGCGTTCTCTACTTGAAGCAAATTTGCATCGCTTGGCAGTTTTCTAATGTTCCTACTGAAGGTCATGGTTTTACATACCTCTCAATTTTTACTGCTTTTGTCAGTATGGGCAATTAAATTAAAATCATCTCACAAATTTCATTAAGTACTGATGGCTTACTCACTGTCAATTATTGTTCAAATCAAGTTTTCCAACCTCTTCTTTCATTTTCGTATACGACTTTCCTTTGGCCATGAATTTGTTTCAGGTCCAAATTCTTAGAATTGGATTTTCTTCTACAACCTAGGTTTTCCTCATACTTGTTCATAACGTAAATGTTCCGTCATCCACTTCAGTGGTAGAAATGAACATTTCTTTCCCTTTATCAGTCTCGAACCTGCAAATTAAAACGAATTCTCGTAGTTCAAAGAGTTTTGTGGCTAATTTAGCTTTTGATAATTTAGATCGGTTTGCAGTTTCGACTGATATCAATAGCAGAAACGGAGCCGGGATCACTAAAAGTAAAGTTTCATCTTACTGGATTGAAACCATATACTAATTATACCATCTGGTGTCGATCGGTTGGAGTCAATGGTGACGTTTCTCCTTCAACGAAACCATTTCATTTCGTTACTGAACAAGAAGGTAAGAAGAAAGCTTTTTCGTGTATCTACACTTTTTTAAAGAAACCTCATTATATTTTTTTTGCTCATAAGTGTTAGCCTAAACCATTCTATTCTCTATTTTAATATAGCTCCCTCATCGCCACCCCTGAAGATTCAAGCATCTGCCATTTCGAATGCAGCCGTGTCGGTGACTTGGGAACAGCCATTGCAAACTAATGGTCCAATCACCGTATGGTTTCTTATTAATTTTTGCGAAATCCACTTTTAATATTACTCTAATCCAATTATAAAAGCATTCTAGTTTACTACACTTATGGAAATAATGCTTCAATGTGCAAATTAATTGGCCATATTCGTCCGCTCCCAGCACGTCATAATATTAAAAGGGGTAGTGACCCGCATTGGTCAAATTTTTTTGAAAACTGATAAAGAAATTAATTTTCTTTCATTGCTTAGCAGTCAGTCTGTCAGTAATCATTGTAAATCACGCTTACGTGCTATTTACATATGTGACAAGAATAAATTATTTATTTTCAAGATTTAAATGCTAAAAAATAAATCAAATATAATTAATGAAATAAGAGGTACGAAATAGAGTTAAATTTACAGCATTTTTAAGTATATTACCTCCAAAGGGAGTATCAAAAGCGTTAAAAAAGTTGATTGTTCAGAATCCGGAATTGAAACCAGAGAGATTTCTATTCAGCCTGATTTGAGGATGACATTTTGATACCTCAGTTTGTCCTATTTGAGTGTTTGCTTTGTTTAAAGGTAACAATCGATATTGATTTTGAGAAGTGACTGTTTTCATTTATTTGGTTGTTCACAATCCCGCATTCCACAAACCAATTCAAATGTTAGTAGATTTCTCAAATCTTAATACGATGGGAAAATTAGGTTCTTTTATTTTCTTTTATTAAAAAGGTATTTTGCCTGGAGCACTTAATATTGTTTTCCGAAAAACTTATTTTGGAAATAAAGCTTTAATTCAATCATATTTCTTAATTTGTGCACATTTTTAACGGATAAATGTATCCATGTAAAGTTATAAATAAGTAAGAGGTTTGGAACCATTTATTCACATGAGTTTGCATTCACGCAAAAATCGGTATTTCCATCAGATAACCAAAGACTTCTCCAGAAAGTAAACTATTCAGGCAAAAAAACAGGGAAGCGTTTCAATGCACACTGAGAGCAAAGAAATGGATGAGGAGAAAGCTGTGAAACTCTCTAAGACTATTTACAAAATTCGAGAGAGAGAGTGGTTGATCATTTCATGTGTTTTTTTTCACTAGAACTACATGGAAAGTTTTTTCGCATCAAAAGTTTCTCAAAATTTTGCCTGAAAGCAACTCTCACATACCACGAATCTCTCCAGCAAATGTTAAATTTAAATGGGGCAATAAATTAAAAGGAAGTTCGTTTAGTGTTTTCCATTTCTTTTTTTTCCTCTTCTAATTTAAAAGTAATTTAGACAATTAAGATGTTGCCTAATAATTTATTCATTTATTGTCTTAATCAGATAAAATCCTTTCTCACTCCCTCTGTAATTACTGTCGGAAATATGTTGTATCTTTTTTCTAAAGAATTTATAAATTCAAATTTTTAAGTTAATTTGAAAAAATTGTCTGGTTTGATTTTTAAGAAAAATGGGCTTTGTTGGCGGAATAGAATGAGTATTTAAGATAGGATTAACAAATTTGCAAGATTTTTTGACTTAATTTTTCCCTTAATTCGAAGTAGTAGAAGGACTAATGAACACTTTTCTCAGGTAAATATTATTGAAGAATAACAATAAATTTTACACAAACACAAGCTATATTTTCTAATCCTTTTACCAAAAATAATGCATCAAAGAAATGAAAAGAATTGGAAGATGCAGAGCTTTCAAATGCATTTACTGGGTTCGAAGCTAAATAAAATACGATGATTTAAACTCCTAAATTTATTTGGTCTTATTGTCTTATCGTTACATAAAGCTTTAGTCTTCGAGAAATTCTGTTAAAATTCTGTTCAGATGGATTAAAATTTTGTATCTGATTGGAAGAGGGTTGATTTGTGCACATATTTATAAAAACATCATATTTCATTAAAAATAGTTCAAATTCATTTGCCGAATATAAGACAGCGAGCAGTCATTTGGTATTTTTAAAAGATTGGGATTGACGGAATTTGTGCTAGCATTAGTTGTAATTTGCCTCAGCATAATTTTTCTTCAGCAGGATGGTGCAAGAGAATGGCTAATTTAGCGAACTAAATACGGAGAAATGCAGAGGACAGGATGAGTTGCTGAAAGATAAGAGCTGACTGAAGCATCTAACCATAGGAATCGACCGGAAAATTGCAGAGAAGCGGGAAAGAGAAAGCAAGGAACGTCGTTATAAGACGAGGAGAAAGATTGCATCGGGCGTATTTATGGGTAGATCTGGTAGGTAATTGAAATTGCTAAAAGGCAGCATGAGAATATAGCTGTAAATGTTGGAATTCATTCATGACTTTTTTGGAGGTTGTATTTGAGGTGAATATTGTCTGATTATCATCAGTCGATATAGGCCGTCCAATAGGTCTGGCCGTTAGATAATGACAAAAAAATGCAAATTCACTTGGCAAAAGTAGTAGACCACGAAAATATATAATCGATAAAAAAGTGTTTAATGGGGATTTACATAAGAATACGCATTAGCAACAGCATCTAACAGAAATGTTTAAAAATTTTTAGTATCCACTATCATGCTTTCAAAATGATAGTTTACGCCTTATTAGGTATTTAACATTTTGGCATCACTATCAATCCTGACATTTAGATTAAATCATTAATTTTAGCCAATATCAAAATTAACTCCTTAATAAATGAGATATTTTCCGGTGGTGATTTTAATAATCCATTAATTTATTGAATTCTGTAAATGGGACAAAGATTGAACTGATTAAACTTTTAGTTTTAAATTCACTAGTTCATCTTTTTTTGGAAAACAACCTCCCTATCCCACATCAGCCACCAACCCACCCCTCTTCCCCATCATTCTATTTTCTCCCTATATGGTGTTTTAGTCTTTCAGAAACCTAAATTTTAGAGGTAGGATAAACGGGCGTTGCAGTTGGAAACGAAGCTAACCTATACAAGATGATATGTTACATTTATTATAAATCGTATCTTTGAAACTGTGGTCATCTCGCCTTTAATCCAGTCCAATATATTGAAATGCTAGTGAAGTGTGAGCATAACTTTTTTTACTCTATTGAGTGAAATATTTATTCTTCCAAGGAATATTAATTCATCTTTTGGTATTTTGGATACTTTTACATCCTGACTTTAGAACTGACAAAATATTGTTCCATCTTCATATGAAGACAGAAATAACGAGATTTAATCCATTAATTATTTGTAATTTTATATAAAGCAAATCATGAGAGCTAATTAAGACATGTTACTAATACAATTTCTGAATATTTCAAGTGGTACACTTTTACTAAGCATTATAATGCCCCATTTTTTAATGATCAAAGCAAACAAGTGAAAGCTCCTTTCCTTGATATGTTCTAATCGATTTCTCTGGATAAATAAAACCGTTTATTGCAGAGAGGCTGTACTCTTAATGTTTCATAAAATATGAAGAACTAGAGAGTGGAAGAGAGGTTCTAACATTATTTGAGTTTTGGGAGTGCGTTTAAGTTAACGAAGTGTGATATTTCATTTTGACACACTCCCATAACAGAGATGGATTTACCTCAAACTCCCCTACTATTCCAAAGTTTATTTTCACGATGACTTCTTAAATAATATATCTGCAAGTAGATAATGATAAGAAGTCGTTCATCCTTCGGTATCTAATGTAGAATAAATGAAGTTGAAACTGGCTAGCTAATCATTCTACACTTCATCACTCTTCCTCAGAACCATCGATGGTTTGGTTTCAATCAATGGATGCCAATTAATTATGGTTTACAAAAAGTGCTAAATTGATCAGTGGTCAACGGCACTTTCCTTATAAATTCATTTAAATTCAACTTTCGTAAAACAAGATTCAAAGCATTCAAATCTCTCCACGTGCCTGAAACCATAGATATTTTATTAAATTAGCCTGCCTTATTATTTATTCATAATTTGGGGTAGAGAAGAGATGGTAAATAATGAATCATTTTTGAAGAATCAGTAAGAATGATTTCAATTTGCTATATTTCCCTGACTCATCCAGGAACCCATCAGCCAGTTCTTGTAACTTTTTTTCCACCAGCAAAAGACACAACCCTATTCCCATTGGATCTACTTATCTCTAACTGAAAAATTTGTCATATTCTGGTAAATATGTCCCAAGTCCTGACAATATCTTGACAACAGAATAGACAATGCTGGTGGTGGTGGTGGCTACTTTTGACAAGGAAATCAGTTTTTTGTTCTTTAGCTGTTTTCCACTTTGTCAATTAGTGGCAAAACTAATCGTACACGGAGATGACGAAAAAACGCCTTCGTTTAAATTGCAATTATAAGCTGATTTACTGGTCGCTATATGAATCGTGCTAAATATATCTCATAAGCTTACTTTATTAAAGTAGTTGATCTCACTCTAAAAGCAGTTTTCATCGATTGTATCAGGGCAATTTGCGGTATAGTTATTATCCACAGAAAATGGCTATTCTAAATTTAAATCATCAATAAGATTCTGATTAAGAGGGAAAGGAAATACTTTTTGGGTAACTCTGAAGAGAATTCAAATACCAGGGACAGAATTCACTTGGCAGTGGAACGTTCAATTATAGTTCCTTCACGAGCCTACTATATAAGGATTCGAAATTATTACCTTATAATCCTACTCACAAGTTAATATCCATTATATATTCAATTTAATATGCCATTTGAACTGACCAAGTAGTTTGGACTTCCTTAGAGAGCCAGGTCTTCTGCTTTCTATTCCGCCAGTTCTGAGCGGTTGTATCTCCAGAACTCCCAGGGTAAATAGGAGTATCTCTGTGTAAGCCCAGATTTTTATGCAATCTAACTTAACAGTAACTAGTTTTATAAATTTGGTTGCTTTCTCCAAAACAGGTTCACTGTACACTATTAAAGTTATCTGTTTCTAACACGAATGCCAACATCATTAAATTTATTACCCAAAAGCCTAGTTCAACCCAATAAGTAACAAAATTTCAAGGTCAAAAGCTAGAGTGAGATTCAATGCATTTTGTTTTGAGTAATATGCGCTTATATATTCAGGCGAATTTTTTCACATTAATTGACAATCCTTATGAAATCATGAGTAAATGAGTAAA